TAAATCTGGAGGTGTCTTTGGGTCTAAAATGAGTCTTTTGTAGACAGCATTATCAATGGGTCTTGGGGCTTTTTAATCCAATCTGATACCCTGTGTCTTCTGACTGGAACATTAGTCCATTTACATTCAGGGTAATTATTGAAAGATATGAATTTTGTGCTTTTGTATTACCTGTAAAGTCACTGTTTCTGTATATTGTTCTGTTCCTTTCTGGTCTTTGTTACTTTTGGGCTCTCTCTTTGCTTAAAGAATCCCCTTTAATATATCTTGCAGGGCTGGTTTAGTGATCACAAATTCTTTTAGTTTCTGTTTGTCATGGAAGCTCTTCATCTCTCCTTCCATTCTTAAGGACAGTCTTGCTGGATAAAGTATTCTTGGCTGCATATTTTTCCCATTTAGCACATTAAATATATCATGCCAGTCCTTTCTGGCCTGTCAGGTCTCTGTGGTCAGGTCTGCTGCTAGCCTTATGTTTCTACCCTTGTAGGTTAAAGACCTCTTGTCCCTGAGCTGCTTTCAGGATTTTTTTCTTCATTTCTGAAATTTGCAAGCTTCACTATTATATGTCTAGGTGTTGGCCTATTTTTATTGATTTTGAGGAGAGTTCCTTATACCTCTTGGACTTGAATGCCTGTTTCCTTCCCCAGATTAGGGAAGTTCTCAGCTATAATTTGTTTTATTAATCCTTCTGCCCCTTTCTCTCTCTTTTGCCTCTTCCTCTGGGACCCCAACTATTCTAATATTGTTTCGTTTTATGGTATTGCTGATCTCTTGAATCCTCCCCTCATGATCCATTATTTATCGTTCTTTTCTTCAGCTTCCTTATTTTCCATCATTTTATCTTCTATATCACTGACTCTAAGTTTTGCCTCATTTATCCTAACAGTTAGAGCCTTTATTATTATATCTCAGAAATAGCATTTTTTATTTCAACCAGATTTCAGTTGTTTTATTTCTCCATGAAGGGTTTCTTTACTGACCTCTATGCTTTTTTCAAGCCCAGCTATTATCTTTACAATCATTGTTTTGAATTCTAGTTCCAACATCTTACTTATATCCCTATTTATTAGATTCCTAGCTGTGATTTCTGCCTTTTGTTCTCTTTGGGGGGGTGAGTTCTTCCATCTTGTCATTATATCCAGAAAAGAATAGATGAAAGTGATGGAAAATACAAACATAACAATGACACCAGAAAAATATTTATTACACAAATCAGAAAAGAACAGAAACAAAAAAGAAAAAAAAACTGAGAATAAAATCAAACAAGTAGGACAGAACAGAACAATAAACTGGATCTCTATCCTGTTTGTTAGAAGAAACTAGATCCCAATATAGGCAAGAAAGAAAACCTTATAGAAATATACAAAAATGTAGTTGAATGCAGTGAAATGAAACCAGAAATGAAATGTATATGTATAAACTGTAAGTGTAAAAATGAAAATTTAAAAAGACTTAAAAAAAACAATTGGTAAGAAAATAGTTGAAAAGAATAATAAAATATAAAACTGAAGGACTAAAGAATAATAACCACACCAGAAAATTATACACTACACTAATCAGAAAAGAACAGAAACCAAACAGAAAAGGGGGAAAAATGGGAATGAAATGGGAATAAAATCAGATAAGAAGTTGAACCAAACAGAACAGTAAACTAGATTCTGAGTGTATTTTGGTTGTGTTAGAAGAAACTAGAATAGGTCTCCCAAAATAGGTCAGAAAGAAAAACTTATATATATACAAAAGTAAAGTTGAATAAAATGAAGGGAAGCCAAAAATGAAATATATATATATATATATAAACCATAGTGAAAATTTAAAAAGACTTAAAAAATAATTGATAAAATAAGAAAACAGCTGAAAAGGATAATAAAATATAAAACTGAAGGACTAAAGAATAATAAGAAAAAAAACACAAATGCTATATACTTCTTTCCCCAAGAGCCAGAGTTTTCAGTTCTGTAACATTAGTAAACTTGGTATTTGCCAGAAGTTCCTGCTGGTCTTTTGGGGGAGAGGCCTTTTGACTGATTCTTGGGTGTCTTTGCCCCACTGGAACTACAACTCCCTTGAGGGGCCAGGCTCAATGTAAGTGGGCTCCAGAGCTGGTGGGGGTGGTGAAAATAACTGTCTGTCCCCCCATCTCTAGCCCAGGAGCTAAAAGTTCATGTCCCCACTCTTCAGTGCACCCTCACAGAAAAGTGGTCACTTACACTTGTCTCCTCAGTTTCCATCCACACTCTATGTTTACCCAGCCTGTAACCAAGCATTTTTATCTCAGGCACTCTACCCTAATTCAAATCTCCAAACTTTATGGACTCTGTGGCGCTCATGCTCCCCAGCTCCTTCCAGGGTAGGGAAGAGGATCTCTCTGTGGTTCTGTCTCTTGCTGCACCCTTGCTCAGAGAGCATTAGACCAACTAGGCAGTGGTTCTCAATTTATGGCAACACCAAGCAGTAAGCCAGAGTCTGGTCTCACTGTTTGCAACTGGCTTCCCCACTCCAATGCCTGGGAACTCTGCTGCACTCGGCACCCTCATTCTATCTGTGAGCCTGGGATTCCTGAGACCAAGCTGTCCCACCTGGGATTCCGCCTGCTTCACTTCCTGAGCACCTTTCAGGTAAACTTCTAAAAGTTCCAATTTTGTGCTCTGCTGCTTATAACACTTTCTGGTACCCAGCTTACAGAGGCTCCCTCTCCTAAAGGTTTATCTTCCAATGTATTGCTTCGGATTCATGTCTCCTCACCTCCTATCTTGCAAAAAGTGGTTGCTTTTCTATTTGTAGAATTGTAGCATTCTTTTCTCAGATCTCTGGTTGATTTTGTAGGTTTACAGAATAATTTGATAACTATCTAACTGATTTCCAGGAACCACACAAAACTAGGATCCCCTACTCCTCCACCATCTTGGAGGATTTCCTGATTAGCAAGTCTTAAGTGACCAACTCTAATGTTCTACTGTTACAGAACAAATAAGAAGTCACATAAGTGTACTAGCTTTTATGACCTGTCACCAAAGTAAAGACCATTTTCCTATTCATACCTGGTAACTGCATAGGAACAAAATCTTAAATGACTTGTGAGAATTCATTTAAAAATTTCACCAAAAACCTTGGTGATACATTAAAAAAGTGCTCAACATCACTCAGCATCAGAGAAATACAAATCAAAACCACAATGGAATACCACTTCACACTGGTCAGAATGGCTAAAATCAAAAACACAAAAAACAAGTGTTAGCAAGGATATAGAGAAAAAGAATCCTCATGCACTGGTGGTAGGAATGTAAACTGGTGCAGCCACTGGAAAACAGTATGGAAGTTCCTCAAAAAATTAAAAATAGGACTACCATATGATCCAATAATTCCACTACTAGATATTTACCCAAAAAATACAAAAGCAGTAATTAAAAATATATATACACTCCCATATTTATTGCAGCATTATCTGCATTAGCCAAGTTGTGGAAATGGCCCAAGTGTCCATCATCAGATGTATGAATAAAGAAGAGGTGGTATACATATACGATGCAATATTATTCAGCCATTAAAAAAGAATGAAGTCCTGCCATTTGCAACAACATGGGTGGCCCTAGAGGGTTTAACACTAAGTGAAACATGTCAGTCAGAGAAAGACAAGTACCATATGATTTCACTTAAATGTGGAACTTAAGAAACAAAACAAATGAATGAACAAACACACGCACCAAAAAAAGACATAAATTCAGAGTACAAACTGGTGGTTGCCAAAGGGAACATGGGAGGGATGGGTTAAACAGATAAAGGGAATTAAGAGTACACTTATCTCGAGCACTGAGAAATATACAGAATTGTTGAATCCATGTATACCTAAAACTAATATAACACTGTATGTTAATTATACTTAAATAAAAAAAAAAAAAGAAAAGAAAAGGGATAATGTGTTGTAGGAGGCACAATGTATGATAAGCCTAAGGGAATTTCCCTCATAAATTTTGGGGTAAGGACAAAAAAATTAAATCTACAGCATAGTATAAGTTTTTTCATGCTCTGCTTTAAGAACTCCAATAAATAAAATCTGGGCTTATATAATAAGCCAAGGAATCATGATGTATATTGTGAAAGAATTACTGACTTTATGAAAGACTTTATCATACAATTTCTTAAATAGCTGCTTTTCTCACACATTTTATTATTCTAAAAATAATTTCCTATTTGACAAATGAGCCCCATGTACCTTGGGACAAGTCACAGAAATTCTCTAGGCTCAATCCCCTCATCTATATAATAAGGGTGGTTTTAACCATGCTGCCTGCCTCACTCAGTTTTCATGACTATAAAACAAGAGATTTTATATAAAGTTACTTTGAAAGCTATATGTAAATATTTTTATGGCTGTTGCTTTTATTTTTTTAAGATTTTATTTATTTGAGAGAGAGAGCGTGTGCACACAAGCAGGGATACGGAGAGAGACAAGAAGACTCCATGCTGAGCTCAGACCCCCAAAGGATTCAATCTCACAACCCCATGATCATGACCTAAGCCAAAATCAAGAGTTGGACACTGAACTGACTGAGTCACCCAGGCATCCCACAGCTATTGCTTTCAAAAGAGAATGGGGGGGACTTTCCAAAATGTATTATTATTACTAAATATATATATACTTTTTGATTTTAACGGTATTTTTTTAAAGATTTTTTTTTTAAGATTTTATTTATTTATTTGACAGACAGAGATCACACTTAGGCAGAGGGGCAGGCAGGGGGTAGGGGGAAGCAGGCCCCCCGCCAAGCAGGGAGCCCGATTCGGGGCTTGATCCCAGGACTCTGGGATCATGACCTGAGCCGAAGGCAGAGGCTTTAACCCACTGAGCCACCCAGGCGCCCTTAACGGTATTTTTTAAAAGCAATTTTAGATGCCATATTCCCTCTACAAAAATCAAATCTTTCCTTGGTTCATGATCTACTTTTCCCATTTTTTAGTTCTTCTGAAGTTACATATTGTTATTTCCATGGTCTTCATACCTGGATTATGAGTGGCTCCAGTAGCTTCTCTACAGTAAATGTTTGGACCTGCAGATCCTGAGGATCAATATTCAGTGTGACTGGTGTTTCAGCTGACATGCTGCCTGTGCACAAAAACGAAAAGATATTTATTAGTAAAGAAAAATACCTTCTAAAGGGAAGCACTAGTGAAAATCATAGAGTGCATGAGATCTGTATGCAGCATCTCTTCCTGATATTGGCTGTAGCCCTCAGAGGACCACGGTGACAAACCCACTAACAGAGAAATAAACAATTCCTTCCCTATCTGTTCTCTGGTCATGCGGTCTGGACTTAAATCCTCTAACAAATTAATCTATGTTGGTATGTTCATGACTAAAATAATAACCCAAGGTGGGTTTGCATTTGTTCAGGATTTTTAAGTAAAAATGAATGGCCAAGTTGATGATGCAAAATATCTTATGGCATGCAAGTCCTCTAACTTCCAAGAAATCATAGCACTGATACAGCCAACATTCATATTTTGCTTGTTCTTGTTAATAATGACTCATATGAGGAGGCAAGTAGGACTTTGGAAGATGCTATACATCTCTATTTGTTTGGGGGACTGTTTGAGAGTTTTGATTGAAAAAGAAATTAGGGGACAATTTACTTTCCTATACAGAAAATAAACTAAATTGGCAGTTATTATAAAAGGAGAGAAGAGATTGATATTTGGGCAAGACAATAAAAGAAAAAATGACAAGCCATCTTTAATGCATTAACATTAATTTTAAAACCAGTGATTTTTTTGCATAAGAATACACAAATATCTCAAATGACCACATGTGGCATATTTATTATTACATATTCAAATTAACAAGTTGGCCATAAAAACTATTACCCAAATCTCCATTTGTATTAATTTGTATTAACTTATTACTTAAATTTATTACTTAAACTTATTATTAAATTTGTATTAACTTATTCACAATTAAGTATTTATCAAAGGCCCACAGAGATAAGCAGTAAGAAACAGGTATCACCTATATGTAACTTAGTCTGTTAAAAAAATAATAAATTTATAGTCCACAGAAACATGTGTTACTATCAAGGCAAAAACCTTCCCACTTAGATTTTACCCATTTTGTTCTCTATTTGTAGGCAAGAGAACATAAGAGTCCACCCCCAGAAAATATCCAGATACTTCCCCTGGAACCCATGAAAACTAAAACAAAAATAATTAGGAAGTATTACAGTAGTACCCCCTTTTCTAGAGTTTTGCATTTTGTGGCTTCAGTTACCTATAGTCAATCGTGATCCACTCTAGAAACAGATGATTCTCCTTCTGACATATCATCAGAAAATAAATAGAAGCCTAAGGCTACATCACAATGCCTAGGTCATTCACCTCACTTCATCTCAACTGATAGGCAGTTTACCATCACACAAAATGAAGACTGAGTACAATAAGATATTCTGAAGAAGAGAGAGACCATATCACAAAACTTTTATTACAGTATATTGTTATAATTGTTTCATTAGTTGTTATTATTATTAACCTCTTAATGTGCCTAATTTATAAATTAAACTTTATCACAAGTACATATGTGGGAAAAGGGAAGGGAGGAAGGAAAGAATGAGTACATATTTTCAAAGTGTTTCTCTTATCCAGAATCAATCCCTTCAACACTCCTTTCCATCCCAGTGATTCTAGGAGATAGAATTGTTCTTTTTTCTATACTCCTGCCTCCAACTCCAAGGGATATCAGAGTCTCAGGGTAGGGCCCATGCTCCCTCCCAGTTGATTCCCCTGAGGGTCTTTTCCCATTCCCCTCCTAGACTTTGTCAACGCCCATTGGCCTAGTTCCATAAAATCTGAATCTCTTTGGTCATCAACCTCTTACTACTCTAGCAAATCCTTCCTTAGATCCATAAGTGTGTTACTGTACGTATTCCAAAGATAATCAAGGTCTTCACGTGTATGTTTAAGTGAAAAGGTCAGTGCTTTACCAAGGCCTTTCCACACTGTACACCTGATACACATGCGGAGAAAGACATACACTTAAAACCATACTGTAACTAAAATTAACTCTTATGCTGATGAACTATAATTCTTAGATTAATAACATAATTTTTATTTATTTATATTTTATTATTTGCTTTTGTGTTTTGAGAGAGAGAGTTGGGGGGGGAGCTCAGAGGGAGAGAGAGAGAGAGAGAATCTTAAGCAGGCTCCATGCCCAGTGCAGTACCAAATGTGGAGCTCTATCTCACGACCCTGAGATCATGACCTGAGCTGAAATCAAGAGTTGGATGCTTAACTGACTGAGAAACCCAGGTGACCCCATAATTTTTTTTTTAAACAGAGGCAAATACTATAAAAGTTATAAGCCAATTTTTAAGGGAGAGGGAGTATCAGTGCCCTGAATCCATGTGTTGTTCAAGGGTCAACTGTACTATAAATCTTGAGAATTTTATATAAAACCCACCAACAGGGCGCCTGGGTGGCTCAGTGGGTTAAGCCTCTGCCTTCAGCTCAGGTCATGATCTCAGGGTTCTGGGATCAAGTCGCACATCCGGCTCTCTGCTCATCGGAAAGCCTGCTTCCCCCTCTCTCTCTGCCTGCCTCTCTGACTACTTGTAATTTCTCTCTCTGTGTGTCAAATAAATAAATAAAATCTTTCAAAAAAAAACCCACCAACATTGTTGAATTCAGAGACAGAGTATACCTTCTGAAATGTAGCACATTTCTACACCCAACCAAACAGCCTGTTCAGGGCCTCTATGCCCCCTTTCAGACTACCGTGTTGTCCTGTTTTCAGTCTATCCTTAACTCTACCACACGCCACTCAAAGTGCCTACAATTCCTTTTCAAAACACATTTTTGCTTTGGAAAAAAAAAATATTATTCAAATTATATCAAGTGAAAAAATATTGCTTGAATTTCTTTTCAAATGAAAGTATAAATAAATTACTGTAATTCTATGATATAAAAATATATGAAGCATTCTGAAATATGCTTCAAGTAAAAAATGTTCCCATTGAAAAAATAATAATAACTTTAACGAAGGGTACTCATTTAAAATAAAGCATATCAGAAGGAAGATGGGCGGGAGGATGGGTGAAACAGGTGAAGGGGATTAAGAGTACACTTAATGTGATGAGCACTAAGCAATGTATAGAATTCTTGAATCACTGTATTGCACACCTGAAACTAATATAACACTGTATGTTAACTATACTGGAATTAAAATTAAAAACTTAATTTAAAAAATCATGGGTTTAAAATATATATATTTATAGGGATGCCTGTGTGGCTCAGTTGGTTGGGCCACTGCCTTCAGATCATGGCATGGTCCCAGGCTCCTGGGATTGAGTCCCAAATCGGGCTCCTTGCTTGGTGGGGAGCCCGCTTCTCTCTCCACCTCTGCCTGCTTGTGTTCTCTCTCTCTCTCTCTCTCTCTCTCTCTCTCACAAATAAGTAAATAAATATATTCTTAAAAAAATAAAAAATATACATAATAAAGATACAAAGCCATATGATGTAGGCATATACTACCTTGTTTTTCTTCCCTTTTCACTGGTTTTATTTCCTTTCTAAAAGTAGAAACATGATCTCTTTCTCAGCTATTCATCTGAAATACAGATGATGTTTTAAGAAAGGTTCCACCACTATTGCCAAATGGTTTCTCTCAAATGCATTTCTAGGACTGAAATGTTTTGTTTTGGTTTAGCTTGATTCTGGTTTTGGTTTTCACTTTTTCCAATCATTCCACCCATACTTTGATTCCCTCTAACAGAAGCAAATATAAATTGAGAAATAGGATATTCCCATGATGACCCTTCTGCATAGCCTGGAGCCAATATAAAGTACAATAAAGTATGTCCTTCAGTCTCCATAACCATAGGGTTCTAGTAAATGAGTACTCACAAAGGAGTTTATTTGTTACCTCTCTCATGACAGGAACTATCCTACATATAATTCAAGTCAAGATTACTGACTTTGCTTTGTTCTTTTTTATCTACAAAAAGTAGAGGACACTATTGTGAACTAAAGTAAGATCTAAGTGAACTTTCACAGCCTTTAAAAACATGTCCTTTCTTTTCACTACATCTGTATCTTTGGGGTAAATACCCAGTAGTGCCATGGTCACCAAACTGTGGAAAGAACCAAGATGCCCTTCAAAGGACGAATGGATAAGATGTGGTTCATATACACTATGGAGTATTATGCCTCTATCAGAAAGGATGAATACCCAACTTTTGTAGCAACATGAACAGGACTGGAAGAGATTATGGTGAGTGAAATAAGTCAAGCAGACAGAGTCAAATATCATATGGTTTCATTTATTTGTGGAGCATAACAAATAACATGGAAGACATAGGGAAATGGAGAGGAGATGGGAGTTGAGGGAAATTGGAAGGGGAGGTGAACCATGAGAGACTATGGACTCTGAAAAACAATCTGAGGGGTTTTTTTTTTAAAGATTTTATTTATTTATTTGACAGAGAGAGATCACAAGTAAGCAGAGAGGCAGGCAGAGAGAAAGAGAGAGGAGGAAGCAGGCTCCCCACTGAGCAGAGAACCCAATGTGGGGCTCCATCCCAGGACCCTGAGATCATGACCTGAGCCAAAGGCAGAGGCTTTAACCCACTGAGCCACCCAGGCGCCCCAATCAGAGGGTTTTGAAGGGGCGGGGGGTGAAAGGTTGGGGGAGCCAGGTGGTGGGTATTAAGGAGGGCACGTATTGCATGGAGCACTGGGTGTGGTGCAAAAACAATGAATTCTGTTATGCTGAAAAGAAATAAAACAAAATTTAAAAAACCATGTCCTTTCACAAAAATCCATTCACAACAGATTTTCAAAGCTACATTGGGCACCAGAAATTGGAAGCAAGGAATATAGAAAATTTTCCCACAAGGAAAATAAAAAATTAAGAATAAAAATTATCCACATCATATATAATCCCACTAGAAGAATGTCTTTCAACAAAGAGATAAAAGACAAACCTAATTCAGCCAAATTATCTTCTAAATCTGTGATAATGTCTTTAATGCACATTAAGTAAAGAAAGTTGTTGAGAAGTTCATTTTTTTTCATTGCAAAATTATAAAATAATATACCAACAAGTCCTTGAAGAAC